GAAATCTTTTGGTGGTGCTTCTCTTCTCACTCCAGCAAAAGCACGCCTCCCTTCTAAACAGAGCGTACTAATCATATGTCAAACTGGTGCAGCATTATGGAGCAGGACAAGAACAGTCTGTATTGTTAATGCTACAGGGCCCAATGACCACATGGACTGGTTGCTGTGCAACAGGTATGCTACTTCTTGACCAGTTTAGACAGAGGCTCTCTGGCTCTGTTTGCCTTAGAGATGTCACCCAGCAAAGGCTGGGACTATGAGGTTGTGATAGCTTCATATTTTCTAGTGCAGGGGTCTCCAACCTTGGCAACTTTAAGCCTGGCGGACTTCAACTTCTAGAATTCCTCAGCCAGCAAAGCTGGCTGGGGAATTCTGGGAGTTGAAGTCCTCCAGGCTTAAAGTTGCCAAGGTTGGAGACCCCTGCTCTAGTGAGTTATTTGGTTTGATGGTGTCACTGGGGGAAAAAAATGGGGGTGAAAACTATTAACTCTTGCAATAGAGTTAATAGTTCAACTCTCCTTCTGTTCAACATTTATGTAAAGCCGCTGGGTGAGATCATCCGTGGCTTTGGGGTGGAGTTCCATCAGTACGCTGATGACACTCAGCTGTACCCCAGGCCACCCCAACGATGCCCTTGAAGTGATGTCCCAGTGCCTGGAGGCCATGCAGGCCTGGATGGGGAGAAACAGGCTCCGACTCAACCCTTCCAAGACCGAGTGGCTGTGGCTTCCGGCGTCCCGATATAGCCAGCTGGTGCCATCGCTGGCTATTGGGGGCGAATCACTGGCCCCCACGGAGAGGGCTCGCAACTTAGGCGTCCTCCTGGACGCACGGCTGTCTTTAGAAGAGCATATGACGGCCGTGGCCAGGGGGACTTTTTATCAGGTTCGCCTGATACGCCAGTTGAACCCCTTTCTGGATTGGGACTCCCTATGCACGGTCACTCAAGCACTCGTCACTTCCCGCCTGGACTATTGCAATGCTCTCTACATGAGGCTCCCCTTGGGGTGCAACCGGAGGTTGCAGTTGGTCCAGAATGCAGCTGCGCAGGGGATTATGGGAGCGACGGGGCACTCACATATGACATCTCTCCTGCGCGAGCTGCACTGGCTTCCTGTGGTCTTCCGGGTGCGCTTCAAGGTGTTGGTGACCACCTTTAAAGCGCTCCATGGCTTAGGGCCGGGGTATCTGCAAGACCGCCTTCTGTCGCCAATAGCCTCCCACCGACAGATTCGCTCGCACAGAGAGGGCCTCCTCACGGTGCCGTCGGCCAGACAGTGCCGGTTGGCGACCCTCAGGGGGAGAGCCTTCTCTGTGGCAGCACCTGCCCTCTGGAATGACCTGCCCCCTGAGATACGCACGATATCAGACCTCCGGACTTTTCGTTGGGCCCTGAAAACACACTTATTCCATCTAGCTGGGCTGGCTTGATCCCATCCTCTCAGTTTTTAATTTGAATTCGGTTTTAATTAGTTTGTTTTAAACTTGGGCCAAAATTACTTAATTGTTTTTTAAAATGTTTTTTAAATTTTATATGCTATGTTTTATCTTGGCTGTACACCGCCCTGAGTCCCGCAGGAGAAGGGCGGTATAGAAATAAAATAAAATAAAAATAAAATAAATAAAAATAAATAAATAGAGAAACAGCCAACAATTAATGAAAAGTTCACTGAGATTTCCTCTGCTTGTTCAGCAAGGTGATAGCATTCAGCTTGTTCATGTTGCACGATTGTCATATTGGAACTAAAAGTGGCACTGGGAAAATAAATTCTGCAGTTCTCACAGATGGTTCAGTCTGCTGGCTGGGAGAAAAAGGATGCCTTCAATGTAGAATATTGAAAGGGTACTTTGGCTGTAGAAATGCCACAGTGGAAGAAGGGCTGTGTTTTGATAGCTCCGTGGGCACCGTCTGCATTCTTTGATGCCTTTCTTATGCAAGTTTCTAATTTTTGTGTGGCTGTGGTATTTTAAAGATTTGTGAGCTGCTGCGGGCTGTTCTACTAAACTAAGAATTGGGGGGGGGGGTTGCTGCACTGAAAATCTGTTGCTGGATTTGTGGCTGTGCAGGCCTAAGGAAGTAAAGTTCAAAAGTGTATTTATTTAAAAGAGTTGGTGATGCTGTGGAAGTCTCAGACTGGTCTTTGGACGCTGTGAGAATCTGGATCAGACAAAAGCAGACTCAGATTAAATCCTGTCAAGACAGAATTGCTAGAGGTCAGGAGACATCTGTGCACTCTGATAACACTGGCCCAGCAGTTATACTGAACGGACTTGGGCTCCCCTTGAAGGAGGAGGTACTTTGTGACTTAAGGAACTTCCTGGGCTTGCAATCCTGCCTAAACAGCAGTAGAATTCATGGTTAGGTGGGCCCATTGCCAAGCCCAACCAGGATGCCTGGCTTCAGAAACTCATGCTTTGATAACCACTTGATTAGACAGTACAACATGTTCTACGTGGGGCTGCCCTTGGAGATGATGTGGAATCTACAGCTGGCAGCAGAATTACTGACAGGACTGTCCCACCTATCAAATTACACCTATACTAAAGTCATTGCCCTGCTTTCTTTGTAAGCTTCTAGGCCCAATTTAAAGTGCTTGTAAAGTCCTAAGTGGTCCTTGGGATTGGGATTCACCAGGCAATACTTGGCCTGAATTGAATCTGCCCATTTAGGCTACAGACGTTATTAAAAGACCTCCTTTGTAAGGTTCACAGGGCATAGGAGAAATTGAAGGCTTTTCTATAGTAGCTCCTCCCCTATGGAATACCATCACCTTAGAAATAGGGACAGCCTCTAATTTGCTGCAATTTCATAACCATATTAAGTTTGTTTTACTCCAGTGTGCTTTCAGTCCCTGCGATGCCTATTTTGGATTTGATTTTGGATTTCCTTTTTGTGATTAAGGTTTGGTTTAGAGATTAATTTGGATGTAGTTATTGTTACCATTTTATTATTTGAAGTTTTTGTGTTGCCCAGGACACAACACACAAAGGTTTCTGGGGATTGGTGTATATCATAAGTGCTTATAAATAAATATTTTGCTATCCAGATGGGGAAGGAAAAAGAAAACATGAATACTCACTTACTAGGATTGGTTGAGTTCTTGGGAGTCTTGCCTTGATTAAGGATAGAATAGAAATAATTCAAAAGAGAGCATCAGCCTAAATTTATGATTTTGCAGTTGAGCCCATGGAATAGCCTGCTTCCTATTTCCTCTCCCTCATAGCTGGATTGTATGATTTTATGTTAGATCATAAAATCATTTTTAAAATCATATTGTAGTATGTTTGATAACCTCTTTTCCAAGAACCATCAGTTGAAGCATAGAAGTATGTTTTAAAGGCTGCTCGATGAAAAAATAAGATCTTGATTAAATTGAAAAAAATATTCCTCATTTTGATTGAAGCTGTATAGAGAGTAGGTTCCCTTCCCACAGCCTGTTTGTTTTGCATGCTGAAGAAGCTGCTTGGATAGGGTTAAGAAGGAGTTACTCTTAACAACAACAACAAAAAGAAAACATAATAGAGGAGTGGGAAAAATAAGGAGAATGTGGTCTCATGTCTTAGCACAGGTGTGAAAAATCTTTGGAAAACTGGAGAAAAATACAAATATTTTTGATAACTGCTGCTAGTTTACTCCTATTGCTGCTTTATGAGGATAGATCTTAAGTCACGTTAAAATTATGGTAAATATGTATATTTTAACCTGGCCAGATAGGCATAATTATGCTTCAGCTTGGAGTGTCATGTCAGAATTCCAGTGTTTCGAAGAATATGAAAATTTATAACCCTTCCTCTTCATCCCGCTATTTGTGCAGTCTTTTGTGTTGCTTTTGTTCTTCCAGAATGTATTCTGCAAATGGAAATCTTTACTTTGGGCTACAACTATCTCTGCTGTAGAGCTATAGTGTCTGTGAAAAAAAGGTTGCCACTGTGACATGTTGCACAATGCTGATATTATGAAAGAGATTGTGGTGTAATTGCTTACGGCTTACGTGTCCTGCTTCCTGTTTTCATTTTTTATATACACATAATATAAGCTACATCTCTTACACAAGGAAAAAGAGGTCACATTCACAAACACAGCACCCCCTCCTGCACCTTCTGGGAATAAAAAAACATTTTATTTATAAAAATAGGGTTACATACTACGTTAAAACAGTTTCTGGATTTGGTCGCAGTTAATTTTGGCTCCCTGTCAACCCTTCATTAAAACAGAAATATAATAGCAGCTTTTGTATAGTAATCTCTGTGTGGTTTAATTTTTTCCCCCTAGTGTTTATTTCTGAAAGGATTGAACTGTAAAGGTTTTTATATTGTCAAATGTAATTACCTAAAGCTGAAGACTGTGATACCCAAAAGGGGCAGGTGAGGTAGCTCACATGGGATTGTGTGGTTTTTCAGAAATAAAAGCTAGCTGGTTGTCGTCTTGTTCACTGCATGTACTGTGTTCTGTTGGAAGTGGAATTAGCAGTAGTCTTGAGTATGTGAAGTGAACCAGATGAAAGCAAACCCACCCCCACTGCTTCTTACAACCTTCTGATTCATAACTTTTGCAAAGTTGACATGGTTTTGCTGTGGTGGCATGTACTTCAGTAGAAAAAAAATGGTGCCATTTCTTAAAAACATGCTTACAGTTTTATCTGTAACATTACAGGACTACGTATTCGCATCAGGAGACAGATACTGATAGTGATAATCAAATGCTTGCTGGAATAGTGCAATTGGTTTTTATTTTGATACGTTTCATTCTAAACTCTCTTAGTATTGAGTACTGCTGGTGTAGAGCTAATAAGACTTAAAATCAAATTCCTGGTCATGAATTTGGATTATACTTATTTATGAGCCTCATTATGCCCCATCTACTCAATCTACTTTACAAAACTGGTAGAATGGTAAAATAGGGAAGAAAATTCCCCCAAAGCTCCTTGAGGGAAAGATAAAATGGCAAATATACCAAGGGCTTGATTTTATTTATTTTTTTGCTGTTGCTTCATATGCAGGTGCCAATATTGCCACAGGAGAAGAAGTAGCCATTAAATTGGAATGTGTGAAAACCAAGCACCCACAGCTCCACATTGAAAGCAAATTTTACAAGATGATGCAAGGTGGAGGTAAGTTCGTAGGCTTCAGAGCCTGATGCTTATGTTTCAGTATTTCGTAAAGGCTTTGGAAAGGCCCAAAGGGATTTGTGAATGAATGAATGATGTGTGTGCACATATGTCCCCCTTGCCAACATCCTCTTCTCATCTCTTTTTAGTGGGCATTCCTTCCATTAAGTGGTGCGGGGCAGAGGGTGACTATAATGTGATGGTGATGGAACTTCTGGGGCCCAGCCTAGAAGACCTTTTTAACTTCTGCTCCCGCAAGTTCAGTCTCAAGACTGTTCTGCTTCTGGCAGATCAGATGGTAAGTTCTTATTTGATTGTCTGTTCCTTGTGCTCTTTCACAGCAATTGCTTGCCCTTTAATAGCCAAACTTGGGGCACTCAGATAAAGCTGAAAAACGTTGGCAAGTCCCTATCTAGCAGTTGTAGGAGGAGCAGTGCTGTGCTGTAGACTAGCAGCTGGGACATCTTGCCAAAGTTGAAGACTTACGTTAACTTTAAAGAATTCTCCGTGTTATTTTCCCTGAAAATTTCTGTCTTTTGGCTCCCAGCTTAGGACAATTGGTATATGTTCCACTTTCACCTGCTATGGGTAGGTAGGGCTTCACTTTTGCATTGAACTGTGAGAAGTATTGAGATTCTCATATTTCTTGTTTACAGAGGGTCTTCCAGTTAATGAGATTACAATGTATACCTTGCTATAAAATTATTGGCACTCTCTTCCTCTCCTTTCTCTCACCTTTCCTCCATTCTTCCCAATCTTATTTCTAGATCAGCCGTATTGAGTACATTCATTCCAAGAATTTTATCCACCGAGATGTGAAACCAGACAATTTCCTAATGGGACTTGGCAAAAAAGGCAACCTAGTGTACATCATTGATTTTGGTCTGGCCAAGAAGTACCGAGACGCCCGTACCCACCAGCACATTCCCTATCGGGAAAACAAAAACCTAACCGGCACAGCCCGTTATGCCTCTATCAACACTCACCTTGGGATTGGTAAGCATTTTATGTTCCCACATTGTTGAAAATCCAATACCATGGTTAGAGATCAGTTAAATCAAAACCTGTATCATTATATTGGTTATAATTTTGGTGGAGTGGGATATACTAATTACCAATTTAATGGAAGCATTATTCCTTTAATCTTGAGGTATTTTGTTCTTATTGTCCTATGACAGGGCAAAATGATTGCATTACCTTTCAGATTAGGTGTGCATGTAGAAATTGATTAAATATTCTGTAGAAATTGTAAGAGGCAACTTGAGAAACTTAAGTCTTAGATTTCCTTCAAATTGTATCTCTGAGACAGAATTTATATAGCAAGTTAAGCCAAAATGCATCTTGCTGGTTTGTAATATGTTACAGGTAGTACTAAACTTATGACCACAATTGAGCCCAGAATTTCTGTTGCTAAGCAAGATAGTTGTTAAGTAAATTTTGCCCCATTTTATGACCTTTCCTGCTGTAATTATTAAGTGAATCACTGCAGTTGTTAAGTTAGTAACACGATTGTTAAGTGAATCTGGCTTCCCCATTGAATTTATTTGTTAATTTGTTTATATCCTACGTTTATTATCTTTGCAAATGAGTAGCTAATTTATCTAACACACCTTCCTCCTCTTTTCCCCCCACAACATCCCTGTGAGGTGGGTGGGGCTGAGAGAGTATGACTGGCCCAAAGTCATCCAGCTGGATTCCATGACTAATGCAGGACTTCAGTTCACGGTCTCCGGCAATCACTCAGCCACCATATATAAAGCTATACAGATACAAATTTGCTATTTGAAGCATTTCAGAAGTATTTTTTAATGCATTTTAAAGAAGGCAACAGTTTGTTTAGGCATAACTGTATTGAATTGGCTGCCATTTGGGAATATGTCCCTCGAATTAAATTTGACTGTGGCAAGTTGTTCTTTGGCTTGTCCTTTGTCGTAAAAGTGTTTTCACCAACATCAGTGGTGACGCATTCAGTGACGCATTACAATTTCTGGTTAAAATTTTAATTGAACAAGCCAGCAAATCAAAGGGATTTTTGCATTCCCATCCTACCAGTATAGTCTTAATATTCAAAAATCAGCCAGCATAGTCTGTACTCTTACTGACTGCTCCTAATGAAGATTAAAAAGCTAAAGAATGTAGAGAAGAGGATAAATTGCAATAATGCCTTTACAAGGAAAAGATTGGGTGTTTGGGCTCTTTAATTTTAGGAGGAAAGAGAGACTTATAGAATGATTAATTATTTAGGTTATTTGATTCTATTGTAGAGTTCTGAAGTTCAGGTCCCTTTGTGATCTGGTTTGTAAAAAGGGATCTAAACAATGAACCCAACACATATAATCATATATTATTCAAACACATGAATGTGTATTTAGATATTTTAGGATTCATTGCTTGAATGGATATTTTTAAAGCATTGGACAAATGTGTGGATGTTTCAATGGCAACTGAACACCTCTAGGTTCAGATACAATATGCCTGCAACAACTAAATATATTTTCTTTGCTTGCTAGCTTACCATGAAACTTAGCTCTCCACTAGGAGATGAAGGGGACTGAATTGATTTATGCTATGATGCAGCAAGGCAGTCAGTTTCTGGATCTAGTGAAAATTGTAGGCAGTTTCCAAATCACCTTTCTCTGCCACATCACACCACTGCAGAATATGAAACAGTGATACAGTATGTTATTAGAGTTCCTGTCCTGACTGGTGAATGATTAGACATCAGATTTTAGCCAACTTGTGCTCTGTGTAATACTGGACTGTAGATTGGGAGTCCGTTTGGCCTAGTGGTTAAGGCACCAGCCTAGAAACTGGGAGACCATGACTTCTAACCCCGCCTGAGGCATGAAAACCAGTTGGATGACTTTGGGCCAGTCACTCTCATCCGAACGTACCTCAGAGGGTTTTTGTTGTGGGGAATGGGCATTTCAGAAACAAATACAAATAACTACAGAAAAATACAAATAATTACAGAAAAAAACAAATAACTACATAACTAAAAATAGGGGGAAGGAGCATTAGGTATGTTTACCGCTTTAAGTTATTTCTAAAAATAATAAACACGGGATAAAAATAAATAAAATTGTTGCTTGCAGTGGCCACTGGCATGATCAAAGAAGGAACCATTATGGCTTCAAAAGCATGCAAAACTGATCCCACATTCCACAAACAGACATGATGTGGTGTTGCTTTTTGGGAGTGTGGATACGGAAATAGTTTTTGCAGCTGCAGAAAAGCGTATAGTTGATAGAACGTCTCCACTTGCCTGTGTTGAAATTGATAAAAGAAATGTTGCTACTTGGAGAATTGGGAGGTGGGGGTGTTGTAAACATTATCCACGTCACACATAGATAAGTAGGTGGAGAGACGGTAAGTGTTCCACATGCTCTGCATTTTGAACATTGCCCAGAAAGACTGGGTTGCACTTCCCTCACAAGTTTCTGTTTTTAGCTGGCTAGAAGTGTGAGAGATGGGCTTCACTCTCACTCTCTCTCTCTCAAATAATTATATTTTTAATAATTGATTTAATCCAGGATACACTTTCATTTGCCTGGAAAGTTCTGAGCAGCAGGAGTGACTAGATGCTAGATTTTTCTCTGCATTTATAATTATCTAACATTCTAACTGAATTGTATAAAATATTCATCTCACTCCAACATTTGTGATAACATTTGCTCTGATTTTTCTTATTGCCTGATTTCACAAACAAGAGCCGGTTTGGTCTAGTAGTTAAGGCAGCAGGCTAGAAACCAGAAGACTGTGAGTTCTAGTGCCCTCTTAGACATGAAAGCCAGCTGGGTGACTTTGGACAAGTCACTCTTAGACCAGTTTCCTTCTAGGGTGGTTGTTGTGGGAAAAATAAGAGGAGGAAGTATCGGATATGTATGCTACTCTGAGTTATTTATAAAAATAATAAAGATGGGATATAAATAAATAAATAAATATGATAGCATGATACCTTTTAAGAAAGAGAGAATTATTAGAATTGGGATGATGGGTTGATTGAGATTTGCAGTGCTCATTGCTGGGCTTGACTGGGATGTCCCAACTTGGAAAAATTCCTTTCCCAAGGATCTGCTTCCCCCAAAAAATTAGTAGAAAAAAAAAAGTATGTGTTACTTGAATGCACGTGATTTGTTCAGAATTTCAACTTGCCTCCTTGATTTCGCTGTTCTCCATGCAACCCAAACTATATAATCTTCAAATGTGTTTACTGTTTTCCCTTAGGCAGCATGCAGTGGGAGGATGATTAGTAAGAGGAGCAATCCACCCTTTGCTACAAGGAACTCCTGGCTTGGTTCCCAGTGCTACGCCATAATGTTACGGGGATGACATAAATCCATCCCCCAAAAGAAAATGTGGTCGACTAAACATAATGAATGGATTCACATATTATATTAAACCCAAATTAAACTACATTTTAATTTGGTTCTCATAAATATTTTCCAGGGAGCCCTTGGTTCCTAAGAATGTAGTTAGTCTGACAGATTTTAAAATCAATCTTATGTGCTGTTTTCCTAGCTTGGTGTTCTGCAGATGGTTTGGGATGTTGTTCTTAAGTTCAGCAATCCTGGCTAGATCATTCCATAGGAGAATTGTATTAAATTTACTTATAATCCATGGTGCAGGACCTGGATATCCATTAGACAGCCTTTCCCAGTAGTTTCTGACTACACAACTGGAACAACTGGGAATGTCTGCCAAGGGTACCCATTCTTATGGCCTTCCAGAAGCTGGTGAAAGAGGCGTCTCTTCCAAGGGTTTTTTTAGGGATCAGTTGCAATCAATGGCCCGTATATATTGTCAAATTTTAGTTAATATTCTCAGTATTAGAACTGTAAATTAGGTTATTGGTTTTATCAATTCATTTTGATAGTGATTTTGTATTTTAAATTGTAAACTGTAAGCCATCTAGAACTGTACAGGTTTCAAGTGATAGATATAGCACATTAATACGTTTATAATGTCAACTTTTACAGCTATTTACTTATCCACAGCTCCGAGTGGCTAAGAAGTGTTTTAAAAAGTATAACACTTAAAACTGATTTCAATGACCATACTTGGCAGAAAGATATATTTGCATTTAAAGAGCCTCAGGTTAGGGACATCTGGCCCTAGGAAAGATGAAAATTGCTTTTGAGACATATTGGGGGCTTCAGTTGTAGAAGTTGAAGTTAAAGTTGTCATCCTTCTTTTCTGGATCCTTCTCTGTGATTAAGGTGACATCATGTGCTAAGTCATATTTGGTTTATTTGGTTTTGGATTAGCATGTTTATAAACCTAGTCACTGTGGCTTGTTTGTACCATAGTTAAAATTAACTGTGACTTAGTAAGATTCGTGAGTCTGCTCCTAATTTTTGGCAAAGGTGGCTACCAATAAGTGTGCAAAATGTCTCAAACTTGAAACAGTTCAATTCAAGCCTTCATTTCAATTTTAGGGTTAGAATATTTCTGGTAAGGTTGAAATGTTGTTCAGACCACTGACAGAAATGGGGAAAAAATGTTTGAAGACTGAAATGCTAGACTTCTAAAATGCCACATTCTGCTCTTCTTAAATGTGGGATAAACTTGTGGCTTGGTTTTTCACTCCTTTGGATTTCCTTTTGCTTTTGCCCTGTTGTTTTAAAATAAGATTTAGGGAGAAGAGAAGGATGGACTGCAATTTTATGTATTTGTTTCTGCTTTTCTGAATTGTGTACCAACCCCCTCCCCCCACTTTATATGAATTCCTAGAACAAGCTTAAGGTCTGGAAAGAGAGTTGGGGAGTGAGTATAATCAAATCTGCTGGGATAGAAGATTAGAGCACAAAGTTGGGAGGGAAATTTCAGCCAGAGACTTTAGAATTGGGAGGAGCAACGTGAAAAGGCATCTCTTGAATCATACATTCCAGTCAATTTTCACATGCTCAGAAGATGACTTCCTGCATATCCTGCCCTTTTCAGAGCTCAAGATATCTGAAATGCGCAGTCCAAGGTGCCCGGAAGAAGGGCCTATA